GACTCTGCAGGGAGTAATCGAAAGCTGGAYGATAGCTTGGAAGTGACTCCATGGACACGAGTCCTTTGGGAAGAAATTCAGCTCTCAGAGCATAAAAAAGGATCCAGAGAAGTAGGCAGTGAAAGCCTCCAATCCCAGCTTCGTTCTGAGACTCACAGAGACATGTTCAGGACTCAGATGTCTTCACATATGCTTGTGTGCAACTCCCCTAAGTGCTCTTCCCTTCCTTTCTCTTTTTTCCTTCATCTTGGTGGCATTAGGATCTAGGTAAACAATAGAGCTCCAGGGTCACAAAAGTARGAGAACATAATTTTTCGTACTTCTTGCTTTACCATGCTCACCCAACCCAGGCMCTCCTCCTGGTCCATCCCCTAACCGGTGTCCCCTTGGGTTGAAAACGGAGGGCTGCATTCCTCACACTGATCCAGTTCCCTGTCCCTGCCAGGGTGACATATGCGGATGAATTGCTTGGACAGAAGACACTGACATCACCCAGGCAGCCTTGCCTATCTCCATCACTGAGTGAGTCTCAGCATTGCTCATATCCTGGAGAAGTTTTGCACCGGTTCCTGGGAGTCAGAGCACCAGGAAGGGACTGGCTCCTGTGCAGAAAGAAAAAAAGACATATAGTCCCCAACAGTTTGCAGATAAATTCCTCACCTCTCCCCTGCGTTTCTGCTCTTGAGAAKGATAGAGTGGGGAGCCAGATGCCTCAGGTTGTGGGAGGACTGATGACCCCCAAGATAGCAAAGCCATAAGGCCATGCTCATTTCCACCTTTGCCCCGTGTGAGCAGCAGGCATGGGGAATGGGCAGGAGGGGATCTTGCTCTGTCCTCCTACCCCTGAACCTGTTCTTTCGCCCAGTCTAGTTAAGCCTTGCCCAGTTGATAACCTCTGGGGTGGCAGTGGTATCCTTGCTCTTGCTCCCACCTGACTCCCCCTTTTCCCTCCCCTAGAGCATAACCACACCTTCCCCATGGAGAGGCTGCAGCAGAGGCTGAGCAGGAGGCGAGTGGCCACTTTGGGGGGCTGCCAATCATCAGGGCTGCATGTTCCACCCCAGGAGGTAAAGGGGACCACATGTTTCCAGATGTGGTGTGGCAGCACCGTGGGGGATGTGGACTGAACCTGCCTACCTTCCTAGGAAAGGCCAACACTGCCATGCTACAGAGGCACCCAGTCCCTGGCACTCCCCCGTCAAGATCACAGCTTAAGGGGGACTTGTAATCATCTCTGGGAATGGGGAGGCCTCCTGCCTCAGTTACTGCAATGGGTTCAGGGCGTTCATCCAAGCTGGAGGAGCTACCAGCTCTGTTTTTCACAGTAGCAGCTGGCTCTGGAGCCAGGGCAGGAAGAAGTGGTGGTCAGTGGCTGTGAGAAGGCTGAGCCATGTCCCTGCCCCTGGTTATACACCGAGGGTTGCCAGGCCCTTGCTCAGGGCAGGGAGTCCCTCTCTAGCTCTCATCCCTCTTGGCTGGAGTGTAGAGCTCCGGTGTCCTCTCTGCATCCTGGGGCTCCAAACAGATTTCCCGTGTCAGTGCTTAAGCAGACTGGTGAGTCTAGGCTGGTGCCCTGCTCCCTCTGCCCCCATGATTCTGGTTGCTCCAACCTCCATGATTCTGGTTGCTCCATTGCTGGGCAGAGTTCCAGAAGACTGGGAGTGTGTCCAGTCTGGGGAAACAGTACCTGCTGTCCCCATATTAACCAGATAGAGCTTTCACTTGAGCATTGCCCAAGCCCAGGGTGCACTTTTTGCTCCTGTCACACGGCTGCCTGGGGAGAGTGGCTCTGTGGAGACAGCGATGTCCAGCTCACTGTGCCAGCAGGATGAAAGCAATGACATAAATGCAGCTTCCACCCTAGCAATCATCTGGGGGTCATCAAGGAGGTAAGGCAGGGCAGGAGCCTGGTRGAGAGTGAGGAAGGGCTGCCAGGGATGAACGAGGAGGAGGAGGGCGGCAAGGGGCTACTCCACCAAGTAGGGGTGTGGAGGGCAAAGCTTAGCCGTGGGGTTGAAGAGCACTTACGTGCCAGCACAGARGGGACAAAAGCAAAAGTAGAGGGAATGGGCTGCCTGCAGGAAGGGGCACTTTGCTGCAGACTGAGCACACTATGAATTGTGACTCCATCCTCCTCTGAATGCTCCAGGTTTTGATTTCCRGAGGCTTCGCATCTCTGGTCCGTGACCCATCCTTTGTAGAAGTGACCAGGGATGAGATGGCAGCCAGCAGCCAGCTGCAGATGACAGAACTGGAGAAGGCAGCTGTGGAGCTGCAAAAGGAAAGGGAAAACCTTCAAGGCATGGAAACCTGCTCTGCCCAACAGGACGCTTTGGCCATGTYATCACCCACCACTCAAGGGCTCAGCAGACCCACCTCCCAGGAGACTACCTCCAACACTTGCCTGTGAACTTCCAATGCTGCCAAATGTGCATCAGCCCCTTTCTGGTGCCTGCATGGGGACTACTGGAGAAATGTCATGCTTCTACCCCTCTCTACCTTTGAGGCTGCCCTGTCTTGGCTCTGTCCCAAGGCAAGAGAGGGTGAGTCTTCTGTCCAACGAAGGAAGGATTCTTGGACCAGGACTGCAGGATATTGGTAACAAGTCAAGACAACACTGAGTTAGCAAAGTCTTGTAAGAGCTAAATGGGTCATTAAAGTCTTCCTGCTATGTGTCCATATGGATCACTCTGTTCCCTCCTTCCTCTGCCACCCTGGCCAGAGAGCCAGTGTCCAAGGCTCCTTGCCAGCTCACCCAAGCCYGGGGAGGGAACTTCTTTAAAAGAGGGGTCTTATTTAAACACATCTGGCAGTGACTCACATGACAGCTTCCACCTCCAGGGTTCTGACAGAGATCTGCACCTGGTCTGAGGAACTCACACCCTAACCAGCCATTTTGGGAGTTCCAAGCTTTGCGAAGCCCTTGGCCCTGTTACTAACAAACAGAGATGGTCCAGTGGGAAATGTGAGGGTTGGGGGCAGTCTTGGCCAATGGGCTCCTGGCTGCATCAGGAGGATGTTATCAGGAGGTCAAGGGGGATGATCCTGTTCCTCTACTCAGCTCTGGTGAGGTTACAGCTGGAGTATTGGGTGCAATTCTGGGCTCCCCAGATGTTGGGTGATGTTTTACTGGTATTGGTGGCATTGGCTGGCACAGAACATGGGGTTGCTTCTCCATCTTTGCTGCAGYCCAGGCATCCAGCAAGCAGTAGGTGGAAGGGGTGGCTTCAGGCCCGGTGGCTCTTCCTGGGGAGGAGGAGAGGACAGCTACTCTGCTCCAAGACATACCCAGAAGAGCACAGTGGCTCTGGACATGACCTGACCCACCTAGTCCAAGCAGGACCAGGAGGAAGAGTCCCRGACGTAACAGGACACAGCTGGGAGGGAGGGATGTGGCTGGAATTTACCCTTCTGCATTGCCCATGAACAAGGGCATCTCTGGTGGATTGGTGGCCATAAGCAGCAAGCCCAGGCTGCCGTGCAGCCTCAGCGAGTCCATTATATTCCCAGCTTCTCCAAGCTTCCTCTGAGGCACGAAGCCATGAGGTCCTCCTGGCGGGAGGCAGCACTGCCGCAGACCAGGTACTGGCTGAGTGGGAGCTAATGTGGGTCCACACACAGTGCTGTGGAGACCTCTCCACTCCTGGAGAGGTCTTACCCAGCTCCAACCACGCTGAAGGAAGAGCAGCTTGGCCATCCCCTCGCTGCTCTGCGACAGCAGTCCCACACAGAAGCAGAGGGCAGCTGGGCTCAGCCCCAGAAGAAGCCGCTCGGTAGCAGTGCGTTTTTGGGAGCAGAGATAAAAGCTCTTGCAAAATGAAAGCCAGAAACTTGGCTGTGGCCGTGTGGGTCTGGCCCAGCTGCAGGCACTGCTGCTGAGCGGAGCAGGAGCGGGATTCCCRCGGAGCCGGCAGGTGGCAGATGGGCACCGCTGAGCAGGGCTGAGTGCGCGGCGTGCGCATGTGCATGTGGGTGCATGTGTGGGCACATGCGTGTGTGTGTATGTGTGTGTGTGCAGGAGTGTGCGCGTGCATGTGTGTGCATGCGCATGTGTGTGTGCGTGCTTGTGTGTAGGTGCATGTGTGTGTTTGCACAAACATCTATGCGTGACTGTGCCAAATCCATGAGGCAAGTGTGCAAGTGTGTGTGTGCGTGTGAACATGTGAGGGGGTGTGTGAGTGTGAGCACACATGCATGTCTGTGTGTATGCGGAGAGGAGGGGGGGTGTGCCTCTGTGTGCTTGTGCATGTGTGTGTGTGAGTACACTCGTGCAGTTGTGCGTGTGCATCTGTGTATGTGAAGGTTGCCCATGTGTCAGACACACACACAACCCCTACATGCGCTCACAGACCTCCCGCCAGAGGCACACCCACAGATGCACACGTGCACAAGTTCATGCGTATGTAAATGTGTGTAAGAGCATGTGTCTGTTTTCTTGCATGTGCGTGCATGTCTATGTGTGCATATGTAAAGAAGATGCACATGACAGTCCTGTGTATGTGTGTGCACATGTGTGCGTGTCTTTGTGTGTGCATTGATGTCTGTAAGTGCATGCATATGTGTGCATGTGTGCCTGTGGGTGCGTGCACCTTTGTCCCTGCGTGTGCATGCATGCATGCATGCGTGTGCATGTGTCTGTGCATGCGTGTGCAGGTGTGCGTGCACGTGAGTCTTTGCATATGCGAATGCACGCGTATGCGTGTGTGTGTGTGTGTGTGCACGCGCGTGCACGCGGATGCCAGTTCGCACGTGGGGAGGGTGCGCGCGTGCCCGCGCCTGTGCCGGGGTGCGTGTGCGCGTGCCCGCGGCCCTCCGCACGCGTGGGCGTGTCCCGCGCGGGCCCGCCCCGGCCCGGCCCCCGGAGCGGCGGCGGCGGCGGCGGCCGTGCCCGCTCGGCACGCGCGGCCCCGGGGCTGCCGCAGCCGCCTCGCTGCCTTCCTCCTCTCCCCGCCGCGGGCACCGGGAGTCTTCCTCCGCCGCCTCCTTCCCCGTGGGTGCGCGCCGGGGCGGCGGGGCCATGGCGGCCCCGGACAGCTGTGTCAAGGTGGCGGTGAGGTGAGTCCCGGGTCGCAGCAATCTCCGCGCGTGGGGGCCTCGCTGCACCCTGGGCGGGGGGGCTCGATAAACCCGCCCGCAGTGCGGGGGTTCGGTGCCCGTCCGCAGCACGGTGCGGGGTTCGGTGCCGGGGAGCCGGCTCTCCCGACGGAACCGACGGGGGGAAGGAGATGCGATGTCGGTCCTGCCCTGGGCCTCTTCCCGGTGTCGCCTCCTCCTCCTCCTCCGCGCTGCTCCGAGGCTGCTTCAGTGGCGTGGCCGCCACCACCGTCACCTCCCGCCATCCCCATCACCTCCCGCCACCACCGTCACCTCCTGCCGTCCCCCATCACCTCCCGCCATCCCCATCACCTCCTGCCACTACAGTCACCTCCCGCCACCTCCGTCCCGGCGCTCTCGCTCCCCCGAGGGTTCGGGTCACCGTGTTGGGCAAGGCGAGGTGGCTGCGCTGGGCACCTCCCGAGCCTCTGCAGAGCCCCGGGGCCCCTTAACCAGGAGATCTCCGTGCCACGCTCCCGCTCGGCGCTTCCCGGCTATGCTGTGCATGGACTTGACSTGCCGGGGTGTCAAGCACGGGCTGATTTGGAGGCGGGGAGGGGGAGGGGAAGCAGGAGGGTGGCTGCTCATGTATGTGGTAGCAACCAATGCGGCATCTCCATGTCCTTTGTGCTGTCYCTGGCTTGAGAACAAAAAGCCCTGCACCCAAATGAAGGCGCTGCCAGGGGCATCTCGCCCGTGTGCTGTGCTGGGGGCTGTTGGGGGAACAGGGCCCTGATGTGGGTGGTGGCCAGCAGGACAGGTCCGTGGTTGCTTTCAGTCTTTGCAGATATAGATGAGCCTCAGGGCCAGGTTTTGGCAGCTCTTTGTTAAGGATGTACCAAGCTGGATGGGTGTATTCTGAGCGCAGCCGCTGGGATCTGGGAGCCCAGAATGTCATTTTCTTTGTTCCTCCCTGCCAAGGAAGGCAGAAGGAGGACAAGGAGAGTCCCCAACTGGAGCGGGGTAGGAGCAGCCAGGGAGACAGTGCACAGCCAGAGCTCAGCAGGAAAGCAGAGTGCCCGTCTGTCACGGCCAGGCTTGTCCGGCGTGGAGGGGAGCCCGTGGCTTCCTCGTCTTGCCCCATGCTTTTGCTGAGTCAGCCCATTTTCTTCTGGACGGATGTGAGCCTGCTGCAGCCCTCGTGCTCCGTCGCAAGGTGTTGGAGGGGCGAGAGGGAAGGATTAGATCTCGCCAAACTGCCCAGAGAGGCAATGCTAGGTAGCTTTTAGGCAAGTTTGCAYTGATCTCCCCATCCCACTGCTCTTCCCTTGTCTCCTGCTATGGGGCTGCAGTGGTGTCCATGCACAGCCAGCTTTCCTGACAGATTGGTGGGGTAACTAGGGAGGAGTGCAGTGCTCMTCTGTCCACAATCTAGAAAGGGTCTGGCATAAGGTGGGTGGGAAGGACATAGGGGATCCGTATTAATATAGGAAAGAACATCTGCAAGTGRCATTGCTCTGGGTGGACCCTGGCTGCATGGGTAGAGCAAGAACACAAAAGATGTTCAATGCAGTGTCGGTGMTGGAGAGGGAGTGAGTGGGTGTGGGACTGCAAGCGCTGCTGCATCCGTGTGTGTGCGTGTGCACTGAGACACCTCCCAGCGCTGCCTGTCCTTTGAGCCTACTTATCCTGGAAGCAGGAGGTATTTTTTTTTTTATGCCCTGCTCTGTTCAAAAGGCAGAAAATGAGAGTCAGGTTCTTAAAGCATTTGCAAATCTGGGGGAGCTGCAGGTAAGATGACCAACTGCCTCCTGTGGATCCAGCAGCATCACTGCACAGGGGTAGAGCTGGGGAACGGGATGTCCATGCCAGGACYCTGACCTGGAAACCAAAGGGTGCCAACTGGCTGGGGTTTGGGGGTGGAGTTTTCCTGCTGGCCAAACTCTTCCCATCCTCCATCCTGCATTTCTTTCAGGATGGAGCCTTTTCACCAAAGGCCCTGCTCCAGTTTGGGGATCCCTTTTTTCCCAGGAGCTCTAGCAGGTGCTGCAGTGCTGGAGGCCTTTTGTCYTCTTCCCGCTTTGTGTCAGCAACGGGGTCACATATTGTCTGYTGCAAGTGGTACGGGGGAGGTCAGGAATGACCTCAAATGCGTAGGCTCCTTTCCACAGGACCACTGATTGCTGCTGTCGCAGTGGGGCCTGGCGAGGACCTGAGCAGCTTCAGCTCTTTCTCAGCTCCTCCTGAAAAAGGAGCTAGCTGTTGTCCAGCTCCGTGGGCTGTTTTATTTCTTTATTTACTTATTTATGTATTGCGGCTTTGTGTGCAGAAAGGATGCTGGAGCGGAAGGTGAGCTTGCAGCATGAAGGAGGAGGGTTTCAAGCAATGCAGTTCAGCACGAGACAATGCAGGCAGGTTTGCGGCACTGCGCTGACAGCATCAGGCTGCTTCTGAGCGCCAGCCTGCGTGTGCAGGGCTGACCTGGCCTCCTTCAAGGGCAAAACAGCTGGAGGTCCCAGGGATCAGACAACATGGGCAGTTTTTCTGCCCAGGCAGCCTCGGAGACTGCAGAGGAATCTGCATCCTCTCCTGCCCTAGATGGGGAAGAGAGGGAGGTGCTTTATGTGTGTGCCCCGGGTCTCATACAGCCCTGCTGCAGGAACAGCCAAGTGTTTTACATCCCTCAGTACTCTCTGCAAGCAGTGGGTTGAACTCTGCCCTCAGATTCCACCTCCCACTGCTCCCTAGAGCCCTTTCCTACCTGAATCTGCCGTCTGTGATGCTGCTTTGGGCTGCCTGTGATCCAGTCCCTAACAGTCCTGCTGCTGAATGAGAGCAAGGTGTGACGAGCACCTAAGACTCTGGGCAGACGCAGGGATGCTGAGTGGTGACGGAGGCTTTGGAGGGAGTTGCTCTCTATGGTTAAATTGCTGGCGGGGCCAAGTGGGTTTCTTTAGGCTAGGCCTGCACACAGAGTGAGATGGCCAGTACTTGCTCGAGCACCTTTGTGAACTTAAAGAAATGYGGGCACCTCAATTGGGGCTGATGCGAAGCAGCCTTGGAAAGCTGCAGCTTGTGTCCGTGTTAAAGGCTTGACAGATGCAGAAGAGAGACGGTCCTTGTTGGACAAGGAGCACCTCTGTTTCCAAGGAAAAAACTCTGTGCTTCCTGCAGGGCTCTGACCAAGGGCAGGACCCAGTCTGCCTTTTATTTGTAATAGGTTTTAAACCTGTCTTGCTGCACAGACAATCCCTTTGCCATCTTAAAATGTTTGATGCCGTAAGGTAGAAGTGGAGCAGAGCTCAATGCTGCAGCGGAATTGCGTCTTCGTGGTTTTTTGTTTTGTTTTGTTTTTGTGCCAATTTAACAGACTCAACCTTGAAACCGCCCCCAGCTTTCACGGTGCTTTGCTGAGGCCAGTGGAGAGGGGGGTCTTTGCACTCCATTGCCCTACGATTAGAGGAGGCAGCGCGGCAGAAAACTGCTCCAAAGAGGAGGGGAGGCTTCGGCTGCTGCTTCCTCCTGAGTGTGGCCTTTGAGCTCCAGCTGCACCGATACCGTCAGCTCTGCAGGCTTCTCGCTTGCGTCCTCCCTCTGGAGCCTTGTCTCCTTCGGAGCCTTATCTGTTCCCAGGTGCTGGTGGCCTCTTGCAGCCACAGCGGAGTCCAGGGCGTTGTGGCAGGAGCTGGTGGGAAGTTGAGTCCAGCTCTGGCTGCGGGAGGTCGGGCAGTGTCAGGAAGGGTCTCTTGACTWGAGGTTGTTAACCTCCTCCTTCGGTCTTGACTGGAGGGTGGTTGGGAGACACGATTGTCTGCAGGTGTGCTGCCCCCCAAAAAGGACTTCTGGAGGGCTCAAACACACTCAGAAGAACAAGCAGCCCCCCTGCCCTGAGCCATGTGCAGCACCCAAGCTCGCCTGGTRGGTTGCGGACTCAGGAAACAGAGCTGGTGAAATTGGGGAAGGAAGTTGAGTCGGATTTCAAGTTTATTTTAACCGCGCAGCCTCCCTCTTCTGCTGTTCTCGTAAATATTACGGCTGAGAGATTCTCTGCTTCCTCCCCCGACCCTGCCGACCGCTGCCGACTGTGTCCTGCTGCCGCGGGGAGCAGCTCTCGTGTCCGTCCCTTTCCCCCTTGGACAGGGCGGGATGTGGAGCTCAGCTTTGGGCAGCCCGTGGGGACTGCAGTCTCCCCCGGCAGAGCCCAGGTCACCGGGACTGCAGTGGTGACGAGTTGGTGCCTTGGCACAAGCAGCCACGTGGTTAACTGGGCTCCAGAACCTCATGGGGTCCTGGCATTTTCGCTCCAGGTGGTTGTAATTTTTCCTGAATGGTTTTATGGAACCTCTGGGATTAGCTGGAGTTGTTCTCTGTAGAGGCAAGCGGGCCGAGGTGCTTCTAGCCTTTCCAAACTGAATAGGGAGGGGTTGTCTCCACCTCTGGCAATTTTGGGACCAGATGTRGTCCCAAACCTGAGCCCAACATCTATGGTGCTGGGCTCAGGTGCTGACGGAGAGCATTGACCCCGGTGCAGGGAGTGCTGCTGTCAGCAGGGTCCATGCAGCTCCAAGCTCCCTTCGAACGTGGAGGGATGGGGTGGCTCAGGGGACGCAGGCTGCATGTGGTGGCTTTACAGGACAGAGGTTTGGATGGAGCRGGAGGTGAGACAAACGCATCCCCACCTCAGCACCTCTTCTGCCCCCAGGATGTCCTCTTCCCTCTGCCTGTTGTGAGAACATGCCCCAGCTCCAGTGAAACAGGGACACCTATCCTAGTGCCATCGCAGAGCCCAAACGAGGGCAGAGAGGGCTTTRCGCCACATTTCTAATAAGGAACGAGGTCTGTTGTGAATTTTACGCCGCCTGGACACGCCACCTCAAAACTGAACAGGTCTGAAGGGAACGCGACCACAACTCCTGGGGGAGGAGGCCGTGGCTGGGCCCCAAGGGCGCTATGTTGTAAGGAAGGGCCCTTCTCCGGAGGCTGCCGAGGTCATCTGGCCATGCAGTGCACAGCTATGGGAA